TCATTCGGCTAGCTCCTCTAACCCGTTATTAATTGTTGAGTTCGTATTGTCGTAAAAATATATAACTACGGAATACGACATTGAAATACCCAGAAAACTATACCGTTACAAATGCTAACCATTTATTGAGATTTGATTTTAAATAAGTTCTATAAATTACGAACAACAACAAACATTTGGCATCCAGAAAAGCGTCACAGAATATCTCGATAACCTAGAAAAAGGAGAATGTTTGAAGTCCAGAAACTAACAATATACTTACTAACTATAGCTGCTGGTAGCATTTGCCATGAAAACAGTTCCATATCTGTACATTTTTTAGCATCAGATTTATATATTTTGAGCATTCAAACTTTCACTGGCAGCGCAACAATCTCCCTTTGTACCTGCGGCATTTTTTACTCTGGGAAAATTTCGATTAGAACTATTTACCCAGAATCTGGGTAGATTCTACTCGTCATAACAAAACTAGTTTACCCAGATTTTGACATCTTCTTACTGCATACAAGAATGGGTGCCATCCACCTAGCCACTAGGTTGATTGAGAATAGCGTGTATCTCTTAGCGGAAGTGTCAAAACATGACCAAACCGATATCCAGTTGTACTTAAAAATTCTTTAAACCAGTGATTTTTCATTTTGAAATTCCCGGTTTTTTCCCTGATTTCCCGGTTCAAATCTTTAAAAAATCCATGTTTATAGTATTCAGTAAAAAACGAAAGTATTTCATATTTTTTTTTATTCTGATCCAGGGATGGAAAAACATTTACATTAATTTTGTGCATTCATTTACATTCATTTGCCTCTAACTTTTTTCATCAACAGAATACCGCTAAATGATGTATAAAGCTTTTGTAGCATTTGATATTAACTTCAACTTTTGTTAATAACTAAAATCTGAATCTCTTATGCATGATGAAATAGAGCTGGCAGAACATGTTATTGTTTTTCAGTGAATGCAATTTACATTCACTGAAAAACAATGGTGGGTTCTTATCGCTCTGATTCATCATGCATAAGAGATACAGATTTGAGTTGTTTACAAAAGATGTAGTTAATATGACAGCCTACAAAAGCTTCAAACACTATAATACGGAATTCTGTTGATGAAAAAAGTTAGAGGCAAATGAATGTAAATGAATGCACGAAATTAATGTAAATGATTTTCCATCCCTGTTCTGATCAAGTGCAAACTTGCCATGATATTTGTGGGTAAATTCAATAGCAAAACTTGGAAAAAATGGTAAAGATGAAGGTTTATTTAACAAAATTGCTCGAATGTTATAAAATAAACCATTGATCTTTATACTTTACAATGTATTGATCCATTACACATCCATTTTACAGTCATCCCACAATTATGGGTCTGCTAATAATTATTAAGAATCTGTCAGCCTCCCGACTGGAAGTGATCTTCAAATGTGGAATGGTTATAAGAAATATATCAAGTATCAAGTAAATGATTTCTTAAACAATGTCTAAATTCAATCTCTCACTCTTTACAATTCGGTTTAATGACCTAATCAGCTCAATAGCGTTCGGCCTAAGGACCATAAAAATCCCATAACACAGTTTCTCAATAAGTTTTCGAGCTTTGCAAACTTAAGATTGAGACCTCTTAGTAAGTAAAGTTTAGTAAAGTCTTGCAACTTAAATTTTCTTAGTACCCATCTCGATAGTATCATTTACTTTTTACATTTACAGGGTGCGTGACGAATTTTTGCTGTAAATGACATATTTGAGAAAAAATTACACCAGTTAGTTATTCTAGCAATGAATGTTATGTGATTTATTTTCTTTCGCAACATATGGATGTTGAAACTAATTTTATTCAAAAAATCGCCTTTGCGTTCGACGACTGTAGTTTGACGCTTCCGGAAACTGCCATATGCACGTTTGACAATGTTTTGACCCATAGATGTCATCACTGTCTTGATTTTAGCTTTTAGCGACTTAAATGTGGTGTGAGGGGTTCTATTGGTATCCCGTTCGATGAAGCCCCATACAAAATAATCCAACGGATTGATATCGGGACTGCTTGGGGGCCAAATTTCTTTCTCCCAAAATTCCGAAATATTTTCCGCCAGTCATTCCTGTGTTTTGTTAGCAGTATGAGCAGGTGCTCCGCCTTATCACTTTCCCAGGCCTTTTTTATATTATACACTGTTCTTTCAAACACATTTACCGACCGAATTATTTCTTTTACGCTTACTCCGGCGCGTAAAGGCCGGCGCACAATAGATACGTTTTCGGGTTTTTTGACAGATAATGCATGGGCTAACTGTCAAAAAACATGAAAACGTATCTATTGTGCGCCGGCCTTAACAAAGTGACAACGGCTGACCGATTGCTGTCTTGTTTCGACATCTTTACGTTTACTCAACACTGTTTGTTTACATCTTACACCTAACAGTATAAGCTATCCAGTGCTGTAAAAATATATCTAAATCATGATCCACAAGCATGTTAAATTACTATGTGAAATTTACTGCAAAAATTCGTCACGCACCCTGTACTAATATTAGTAAGGTCACTACGCCAAACGCTATTACGCTGCATGGGTCATTAAACCAAATTGTAAAGAGTGAGAGATAAAATTAAGACGTTGATTAAAAAATCTTTAAGTTGGGAAATTTGTTGGAGTTAGAAAATGCTTGAACATTTCGTAATCTGAACTAACAGAAATCTTTTAAAAATCTGAAGTTTTAGGTTAGATGCGTTTTTTTTTAAATTTGTTAAATGTTCATAAAAACAGTAAGGTCTTTGTTTGTGCAAACCAGGATCATATGATCGCGCACGAGCGGGATCCCTACGTTGTGTTTATGATCGTTGTGATAGGTACGGAGATGAAAATAAATATAACACACAGTTTGCTTGACCGTCCTGCCATGGCGGAGGTATTCGAGATACTATATTGTTTTCTATCTTTCTTTGTATAGTAGCTACAGTGGGTAGGGTAGTTGAACATGTAGATGACGTTGCACAAACAGTATTAGATTTATAAAACAAACAAAAAAACTATTTTTTATATGATATTGAGAAAAATACTCAAAATGTGAAACATTGGAAAATTCACAGATTAAAAAACATATTTTGGCCCTGTAAAGTTTTCAAGGCTCTACAAATTGGAAGAAGGTTCAGGGTTCCAGTAATTAAAAAATATATCAAAGAATTTTGAGGATAATTTTTATGGATTTTCTAAGAGAATTTAAAAGCAATTAAAATGCTAAGCAAAATAACTACAAAATTCTGATAAACGTCCTAAGGGAGTTCTGACCAGAACTGCAAAATAATCTGGTAAAATGTCCTAAGAAATTCTGAGATGAATTCCATGGAATTTATTGGGAGAAGAATTAAATTTATGAAATGAATTCCTAGATAATTCTAAAGCTTACTGCATGGAAGTTGTGAAAAGAACATCAAGGAGAAATCCTACGTGATTCTGAGGTGAATTTTATGGGGATTATGAGGAGATTAGCAAGTGAATTTTAAAAATTAATCCAAGAGAGTTTTGGCGAGATTTCAAAGATAATTATCAACAGAATGTATAGGGTGTTCTGGGGATAATAAATAAATAAATAAATAGACTCTGGTGGATCCCGCAAGAAAGTTTTCTAGTCTAGTCCAGTCTATTTTAAATACTAAAATTCCCGAGGAAATTTTTGATTAATATTTTGAGAATATTTTCAAAGTAATTTAATTCTCAGCATAATACTAAAGGAAACCTATGGAGGAATCCGAAGAAATTGTTAGAAGATTTCAAAGAGAATTCTAAGGTACGAGAATAGAACTAAAGTATTTTCTTGTGATTTTTTAGGAGAATCTCATGATTTTTCTAATCAGAATCCCAAGGTAATTATGGGAAAACAATGAAGTGATAAATTTTTCGGTTTGGAATGTTTCTCGACTTCCCTGAGTAATACGCTTCAACGATGAAACAACACATAAATCAACCAACCGGTACGCTCATCTGTCATCGACTGGACAACGAGGGACCGAAAATAGCGAAACCAAACCATCATCAACGTCACCGGCCGTCCAAGCGAATGAATGTGCGAAATCATAACAAAATAATGCAAACAATGCATTATTGATTCTAATTATAAATGGAGAACCGTAAGCAGGAACCGCATACTTCGCCAGACTCATAAATTGATTTTAAATTTATCATTCTAACGCAAGGCACTGCGTCCAGGTATGCAGTAATTTATTAATAGGATGCCGAAGAGCTGCCAAATTAAAAAAAAATCCCAAATTAGCACCTGAATGGGAGCGGACGGTTGCGTCCAAATAACATGTTACCTCTTGGGTTTAAGCAGATAACGAGTGATTGATCCATACTACAGTTATCCCGTTTTAAGCAGGAAAGTGCTGCGAACACGATTTTAAATCACCAAAAAAGAAACTCTTTTAGCAATTATTTTTCAAAAATTTTCACAGATCACTCAATTTCTTCCGGCAGCTTTTGATTATTCGACTGTCTGGAGCCGGCGCCAGAAAATGGAAATCTGTCATGCTCTGTTTAACCTACCATCGATCATAGCGGGAGCCACAAACCAAGTGAACATGGGCTGATTTTGGTTTAAAGTGAGATGAATTTTAACTCCGACAATAAGGAAAAAAAAAAGTGAGCAGAAGCTGAGGAAAATAGATGTCAATGACTAAATTGAAGCTGATAAATGAAAATTGACTTTTAGTATCGCGTACATGATAACCGCCGATGGTGGGATGTCTTAACCGGTGTGTTTCATTAGCGTCATGGTCGTTTTTTTGTTTACAAGCAAATCCTACACACATTGAAAGTGTGAAGCAAATCATAAAAAAAGAACTTCTTCAACACGTCATTACCCATCTGGTTGCTCGCTCAAGCGATATAGAAATCGCTTTTTTACGCTGTTCATTTCAAATACCTAGTTTAGACAAAGCTTACACCGCCTAACATTGCGTAACCAAGCAGAGAATGGAGCTATACATTTCTAATTTGGTTTGGCAATCACTTACATCGAAGTCGGACATGTTTCGGCTGATATCACTAACTGCTGCCGCTGTAGTTGACCTCGATCAATTATTCAAATACGATCTCCAAAAAGTAACAACAACACGATGCAAATGTATTCGATGCACTCAACACCCTTACGGCCCCGGTAGATCTGACTGCTGGCTGATGTCAGAAGAAAACACTACACAGAAAAACAAACGCACGCGCGCGAGCCCACCGAAAAACGGAGATCCACGTGAGAGGAATGCCTTCGCTAGACTGACTGAATTCACGGTCAACAGCAGGCGGCGGAGCTCGAATGAAACCCAACTCACTTCAATCTCAATCAGTATGCTCCATCAATAAATATCAGATAGGGTAGACGTACCAGCTTTGGCTATACGGTCCTATAATGGTGTGTTCCAATTATATGGGATTTACATAGGTCATAATAGGAACATCTACCCTACATATGAACAAAATAAAATAACGAGGGTGAGGGAGAGATAACCGTTTCAACGGTGTGGTGTGATGTTTTGCATTGCAGTAGTCGTCGGAGAGAATCGTTTGTTTGGAAATGAAGAACAGTCAGGATTCTTTTTGTGCGATACCGTCAGGGGTGGGATGTCCTGTCAAATCGGCTTACCGAAAATCCATCAATGAGATGTAAATATGTAAGGCTCAGTGAATTTTTTTATCTCTTTCATTCTCCCGCTGTTTTACCTGTTGAAGGAGTGTGAAGTCAAACTCCGTCATCCATTTAATCAGCCGGAGAACGAGAAAAGACGACCAATTTACTGGGCCTCACCTGTTTACGCTAATTGATTTTCCATATGTGAATTTGGTTCCAAACATCAACAAACCATCGTTGCTGTCTGCTGCTGGATTTGTTGTCGTTTGGAAACAGTTATGCGAGGTAGGCGACGATTGTTCGTATTCGACAGCCAATTCAAATATAAAGAAAGAGAGAAGGATTAGTAATTTCCATTTAATTACACCCCGCATAAACAATAACCATTAGAGGAGCCTAACTACCAATTCGGGATATCATCTCAACTTTATGTGGTATGGTCGTACCATCTATGAAATTGTTAGTGTATGGTACCCGTTTATTAGGGACTACCTTATTTGCTTATCCTTGACAGATACGCGTATTTCATCTACAATGTGCAGACTTCTTCAGTGTCTTGTACTTGTCCGCTGAGGCAAATTGACTTCAGAATTTCATAAGGCTCAAGTTTTATTATTGTTCAAATCTTTTAAATTCATACAGATTTCTTGTGGCTAAATTTCACATTTCATCTTTTTTCTTTTAGAATTCTTACGATATTTTGCCTCAGTGACTAATAGTTGAAATGATTCCATCGTAGTTCGACATAATCTCCATACAAACTTCAAACCATTAGCGTGACCTCTAAACCTTAATCAATCTCTACCATTTTTAGCACATGCTCAAATTTTAGATTAGGGGTCGTTCATGAATTATGTCACACTTTTGGGGGGGGGCTGGTTGGAAACTGTGACGAGCCATACAAAAAAAATAAGGGTCATACACAAAATATGAAAAAGGGGAGAGGGGGCGGTTGAAAATGGCCCAAATTTGCGTGACATAATCAACTATAAATCAAACTGGAGGGTGGCCTAAAAGATTGCAAATACTTTTTATAAAGAAGCACCCTATTCAAACGTACATACTGGTTGTACTTTAACTCACTTCGCTATAAAAATGTTTTTCGAAATTATGAATGCTGCATCAAAAAACAGCATAGTAGGAATCATGCCTGTATTAAGGTAAAAATGTTAAAGGGTATGGGTCAAGATGTTTTATTTATAATAGGCCTAAACAATCCAAAATATATTGCCTTATTTGCTTAAAATCTATGGTAGAAGAACGGCTCAAAACTGGTCGTCTGTGTGATTAATTACCGGTATGAATTAAAATGTAATGATCAAAAACAAACATCCTACGGCACCTTAAAACAAAATATGTTCGACGAAAATAAACAGGTTAAGTTTTCAGTGCAACACTACTGATGCACTTTGAATGGAGCAGAGGATAAGAATGAACGGAATGGACTGATTGGAGATTGAACTCGTCAATGTGTGTTAGTGAGCACAGCAAAAATTGAAGTTCAAGTTTTTTACTGCTCGCACTGGTTAAAAGTCGAGTAGTTGGGGTAGTCGAGACATCAACCAGCATCAGTCGGACGTATAGAGATTCTGATGATTAAAATATGTACAACAATAGGGTAGCGCGCTACTTCGTCGTAATCGCCCATTTCCGTTCTATCGTTCAGAAAAGATCAATAATATCAATGATATCACCGTTCAGAAATCAATAATATGTTTGTTCCGATGCGTTAGTTCATTAGCTACAACATAAATCCTGTTAGAGCGCATTTTATGAATATTTACGCTCATTTTGCTCAATACAAAAGAAGTGCTCCTAGCGAATCCCCTTTTTCTCCGTTTATCCGTAGGACGAAGAAAATTTAATGGCGTTAGGACGGAATTGAAACTCGTAGAACGAATTTAGAATCAAGAAGCAGTATTGAATTTTAAACAATATCCAACAATTTGTGACTCTTTATTTAATCCAACGGTACGTATGGAAAGGTGAATAAATTTAGAAGTCATTTTTGACAGAAATATTCCATTTTTTGTTTAAACTCGTTCAGAAAAGAGAGGTAAAGCGCGGGTTGTGCTTAGTAGGACGATTTAGATCAAAAACTCTACATGCATCAACAAGCTATAGGCCGTTCGGGAGCTGAGTTTCAAAATTCAAGCTGAACATTGCATTAGGTCCTAAGTAACATTGCTCGATTCTCTTCGTCGACTTTCTCTTACGTTAATAACTGGAGCACATAACCGTTTCTTGTTTTGTTTGTCGTATTAGATGCTAGATAAAAGCTTCTTTTATCGAACTGTGTGCTGAAAATACATGGGAGTGTCTTTACATGGCCGTGGGGATACAAATAAAAAGTCGACGAAGAGAATCTGTCAATGTTACTTAGGACCTAATGCAATCATCTCCTCCTCATCTATCGTATAAAAATTACCACTTCAGTCTGTTATTTGAAATTAGCATCTTCAACTATGTAAATCGTTGACTTCACGCAGAAGTAATACTAAACATATAGTCAAAGTACATAACTCTGGATTAGAGCATACCATCCATTACTGTCATTGGTCGAAAGGCACAGTAGCAGCACGTATATACCCCACCCGTGTCCTCTAGAGATCTTCAAGTCGACGATGACAGGAGCACATACCGTGGTAGGGGTAACAATAGCTGCAATTTCCAAACCTACGACTGGATGCATTCCTTCAAATAACAACTGGAGTGCGGTAAAAATCGGTAGAACTGTTTCAAACACATCGTTGGTATTTGAGCGGTCGGCGATCATCTCTTTTTGCCAGTGGTGGCGGAGGGGACTCCCCTCACCATCCCTCTCCAAAAGGGAGTTTGGTAAAGAGAGATGATAAAACCGATTTGTACCTTCCTAAAAGTTGTCCTAGCTCGCTGTCTACTCTCTATATGCAATTTTCACACTGCCGTACTCTAACGGAACTATCAATTCTATACTTTCATCTCCTCCTCATCTATCGTATAAAAATTACCACTTCAGTCTGTTATTTGAAATGTCTATCTTCAACTACCTAATGCAATGTTCAGCTTGAATTGTTTCAAACTACTCGACAGTTCTAAAATTTTGAACTGTCAGAAATTAATCATATCGTCCGGCCATTTTGCACAGAGATGACGCTGTTCCGCTGGTAGGAAGTGATAAAAATCCCCATATAGAATTTGAGAGAAGTGGGAATAATTCGCTTTCGGTGCATATTCAGGTAAAAAAAAGTGAACGGCAACCTAAATAAATTAGTCAGGGACTTTGTCGTTTAGTTTTTTTTTTCCGGAAATTATTGTGAAACAAGCTACAATTAAATAAAAATCATTTTTCCCCATACAGTTTTACCTGCTTTACTATCAGTCCTCAAAGAGCAAAAAAATTTGAGAGCGAAAATTCTCTTTCACGAGCTCAATCTCTCAACATGCCATGTATTTTGATTACACTTGATTTGTGATTTCCCTTTCACAGATTACAAAATAGAGTACCTACAAAACACTACAAAAGAATATCTGGCAGATGTGATTTGAATTGTTGGATAGTTGAAGATCTTTAGCTTTAGCTGATCAACCTGATGTCTAGAAAAAAAAATATCCAGAAAAGTTTATGGACATCTTCAAACACATGAAAGTTTTTGGAATAATGTCTGAGCTACCTGATATCATATGAAAGAATCTCTAAGAGGTGTGACCTAAGACACCTGATTTCATGAGAGACGTGATCTACATTGTTGGACAGTTGAAAATCTTCAGAATACTGCTTGATCGATCATCCTGATATGAGGAAAAATATCCTGAAAAGTTTATGAAAACGTTTGGCTTGGAATAATGTTTTGAGACACCTGGTATCTAAGTAAGTCACGAAACGTTGCTCAAGACGTCAATGCAATTGGGTGCAATCCCAGAGCGTTATCTAGATTAATGATAAGGAAACCAAAAATAGATCAGAATACACCAAAAACCAAAAATAGATCAGAATACACATTGACAGAAGTGTTTGATAGGCTCCAAACTACAAAAAATATGTTTACAAGCAATAGGAAGTAGTAAAGTTATAATTGAATGTTTAAGAAGATACAAACCTCCGAAGAAACTAGTAAAGTTTCTGTAAAGGACATTTATATTACCTACATTATCGTACTAACTTAAGGCTATCGCAATAGCTAAAACAAATAGGAGATAGCAGCAGATACGAGATGCAGAAATTAAAGGAAATGCTCAAACCAGAGTTAATGTACACGTGCATCCATCCCGCGTGATAGAGACACGCTTTCTATCAGATCTTAGGTGCCTGGTACATTTCGAGACGAATTATTTCGCGTCTCTTTTTTGTTCCTACGTGCCTTATTCTTGTCACATGTGCTGTGTCTCATGAGCTAAGCTCGGCGAGCTCCAGGGAGATCGGCAGCGCACCTACGTCCTGCGTGCATGCTAAAAGTGGCTGGTTGGTGATAAAGAAAACAACGGAGAACTGTTGATCGAGTAGTCCTGTCACATTCTCGTGTTGCTGGTACAGCTGATTGATTTGAATCAGTTGGTATTCAGTTTTTGAGCGTTGAAAAATTGCGGT